ACACACACACACACACACACACAAACACTCACGCACCAGTGCCATCCTCCAACCACAGGATGAGAGTCATGCACTGACATGTTGTGTTGTTTGTTTGTTTCAGTCAAGAGAAGCACTTTGACACAACAACGGTCACTTACAGCAAGTTCCCACACCACAAATGGGTCATATAAGTGCCGAAGACTAGATACGTGACTACAAACTACAAAGTAACATTATATAAAGAAAAGGAGGAGAGTTTAATTTTAGTACGAGTTCTACGGCACTTGCAACACAATAAGGTCATGTAAGTGCAGAAGATTAGAGGTGTTACAAGAGAGTAACAAACACAAAAAAAGGAGGGGAGATACAGACGATATACTTTTTTAATAAGAAAGAAGGAGCAAACCACACCAGAGCACCCGCCAACCACCCACGAAGAGGAGAGATAAGGACCACAGACGCTTGTGATAGGCTTGCGGGAGCGAAGTACACTAGAGCTCCTGCCAGTACCCACCCACTGTTGGAAAAAACAAGGGAAAAACTGTGACATAGATAGACAGAAAAAACACAGGGAAAGAAAAGAAGTAGGATGTACCAGTGACGCCTTCCAACCACCCACACACACGGTACATATACTCTACCCACCCAGACTTCAAGCGGACAAAAAAACCCCAGGAAGGCAGACAGACCAACAAACTAGTTTTTACTTAAGAGTTTTACGGCACTTGCAACACAATTAAGTCATATTAAGTGCCGAATAATAGAGGTGTTACATGAGAGTAACAAACACAAAAAGAAGGAGAGATAAGAGAAGGACGATAACAGATGCGTAAAAAAAAAAAAGAGCAAACCACCAGAGCACCCGCTAACCACCCACTAACACACAGATCTATCCTCCCAGACTTCAAGCGGACAAATGACAGGAAGGCAGACAGACAAACCGCAAAAAAAAAAAAAATCACGCCTACACACACACACACGCACAAGTTAACCGCTTCTTTTCCACGCAAACACGTTCGTAGAACATTACGACACAAACAACACAAACAGTTGACTCGTCAAGGAAAAAGAGAAATGTTTTCCAGAAAAAAAAAGAAAAAAACCCAGCAGGTGTCTTCTTTTGTTCCTGGTGGTAGTGTTGCAAGTTCTCGTGTTCGTTTGCACATTTGTACCTCCAAAACAAAGACCGCAGAAAAAGGTAAGAGGTAAAAACAAAAAGGATTTGGGG